TATTGGATCTTTCTGTCTTAGAAAAAATGATGCCACTTATTATTATTATTTCAGATTTATTATTTGTTAAAAGGTAAAGACAAGGTTGTCTCCTTCAATCCATGAATCTGTAGCAATCGGATCTAATATGAGAACTCGTCGAAGAGGGTTTTCTGAAGATACTCTTTGTCTCAAGCCTTGTGTAGAAGAGCGTGTGAGCTTTGATCCTATATTGCTAAACTTCTGACTACTCTTCTGCTCACCCACGAGCGAGAAAGAGAGAGAGACAGAGACAGACAGAGAGACAGAGAGACAGAGAGACAGAAAGAGAGAGAGAGAGAGACAGAGAGAGAGAGAGAGAGAGAGAGAGAGAGAGAGAGAGAGAGAGAGAGAGAGAGAGAGACAGAGAGACAGAGAGACAGAGACAGAGAGACAGAGAGACAGAGAGAGAGAGAGAGAGAGAGAGAGAGAGAGAGAGAGAGACAGAGAGAGACAGAGAGAGACAGAGAGAGACAGAGAGACAGAGAGACAGAGAGAGAGAGAGAGACAGAAAGAGAGAGACAGACAGACAGAGACAGAGAGACAGAAAGAGAGAGAGAGAGAGAGAGAGAGACAGACAGACAGACAGACAGACAGACAGACAGACAGACAGACAGACAGACAGACAGACAATGAAGAGTCTCACACATACACACTCACCCTCGTCATCTGCTATACTCATGTGGTATAATATGTGTATACTCACCCGTAGTTCAAGCATAATTTATCGAATCTTCTGTATTTCCTGCCAGAACGATAGAAACCGTAAACTTTGTGTCAAGCGTACCCCCCCCCCCCCCCGGCCGACTCAACACATCCGGACACCAGTTATTCGGATAAGACAAGGACCAGATACCCGGATAATGATCATTTATCCGGGATCGATTGCGTATATCGTTCACTCCAACTTGTCCTACAGCTGTTCTAAACGCCTTAGGGTATTAATTCTGAACTCCAACACCGCATCAGTTATTGAACCCACCATAACCCTACAAAAGTAAAAAAAAAACACTCACCCCCCCATGCCCCTCACCCCCCCCCCCCCTCTCCCTGGGGACCACCACCATCACTCCCGTTACCTCTGCTGGTGGGGGTTAAGACAGACTTAAGCCACATCACCAATAATAACCCCTCCTCCACCCTTCATAACTTCCGCTAGAGGGCGCTGCTTATACTTCCCAGATAACCTCCCCCCCCCACGATGCAGCCTACAGTGCTAAATGTGACTTTGATGGCACAGTTGCCCCGAAGACTCTGCCACCTGGAATTTGGCTGAGCTCGTAAACACAGGTGAGTCTTGTGTGGTGGTGGGATTTGTTAAGTAATTAGTTTTAACGCTGGGGGATTATATAGGACGCTTAATGATTGTATAGGACGCTTGGACACTATATAAGACGCTTGAAGACTATATAGGACCCCTTGGAGACTATATAGGATCCCTTGGAGACTATATAGGACGTTTGGACACTATATAAGGAAGCTTGGAGACTATATAGGACCCCTTGGAGACTATATAGGATCCCTTGGAGACTATATAGGACGTTTGGACACTATATAAGGAAGCTTGGAGACTATATAGGACCCCTTGGAGACTATATAGGACGTTTGGACACTATATAAGGAAGCTTGGAGACTATATAGGACCCCTTGGAGACTATATAGGATCCCTTGGAGACTATATAGGACGTTTGGACACTATATAAGGAAGCTTGGAGACTATATAGGACCCCTTGGAGACTATATAGGACGTTTGGACACTATATAAGGAAGCTTGGAGACTATATAGGACCCCTTGGAGACTATATAGGATCCCTTGGAGACTATATAGGACGTTTGGACACTATATAAGGAAGCTTGGAGACTATATAGGACCCCTTGGAGACTATATAGGATCCCTTGGAGACTATATAGGACGTTTGGACACTATATAAGAAAGCTTGGAGACTATATAGGACGCCTTGGAGACTATATAGGATCCCTTGGAGACTATATAGGACGTTTGGACACTATATAAGAAAGCTTGGAGACTATATAGGACGCCTTGGAGACTATATAGGACGCCTTGGAGACCCGTCAGTTCTTGACTGGAGGATTCGACAGTTTATATATTTTGTAAATTGTAAATTTTCTCTCGCTTGTAAATTGGGAATTTTCTCTCTCGTGTAAAAAAAAAAATTTATTTCTTGTTTTCATAGACAACATATGGGACAGATGCTCGTTATTTATACGTAAATAAAGTCGACACATATTTAGTCTATACTTGGTTGTAAATCATTTGCATATGACTGCCTGCAATCTGTATAAACAAGGAACCTATTTTACTCGTAGGTGAACTGTTGCATCAGTTGAAAGCAAACGTTACCCATTCTTCTCCGCCCTGCCCGAAGATTGAACCCCGGTTCGTCGATTGTGAATCGAAGACGAAGACTACTGTGCTATAAGACCACCTGTTCGGGGGTCAAATGGGGGGTAACTGTGTATGAAAAATACTGTAATTCATACAGAGTGCAGACTGTATGAAGGTAAATACACTAAGATTTAGGCTGGAAATCTGCACTTTAGCCTCATAGGCATTGTCTCCTTTTGAGTCTAGAGCTTAGAGTCATCTTGAGTCTAGAGTCTTTGTTGATAAGTCTAACGCCTCATCAACAAACACTGTGATACTGTTCGATTACTCATGGATTGCACTGAATGTGTGTCTGTGTGAGTATGTTTGTATATAAATATATATATATATATATATATATATATATATATATATATATATATATATATATATATATATATATATATATATGAATGTATTTAATTCAATTTGATCCCTAGGCATTAAACTTGAATCTGTAAAATACCTGACAGCCACTATTCCTTTCATTAAACTGAAAAAAAAATTACTTTACTCCTCTCCACAACTTTAGCACACAACACGACCACAAACATCGCCCCACGAAAAATATAACTTTCATTTCACGAGCGGAAAATGCTGCCACAACACTCATTTTGGAAGCTTTAACTTTACCTCCTGACTGACCTCCGATCAAACCAGTAAATGTTGCTTTTGGATTTACAATTCAATGAACGTACTCGAGGCACGCAATATCTCTGCAACAACCACCCACACACTCGGTCACTCCCCTCCCCCTTTCCCGTGTAAATGTCGCCTCCACTATTGACAGTCATGGCCACGGTGTACAACCTCAGAGTCCTGGATCCAACCCTCCTTGTAAACAACGTCTCAAACCCTTCTATTATCTCCATTCTTAACTCTGAATGAACAACTTGAGTTGATATATAAACAAGGACTTACGTAGATTTTCCCCTCCAAAAAAAATCGGCTTCACATGCTGGTCAATCTCAAGGCACTTAAAGCAGAGTGTGTTAATGAAGGGAAAGGGGTGGGGGGAGGGAGGAGAGTGCAATAAGGCCAAATGACTTAAGTCAAGCAGGTTGGCCAAGCCCACAGGGGTGGGGGTGGGGTGTGGGGGGGTCGTGAATCACACCTCCACGGCCCCACAGCACGCTCAGTCCGCATTAACTTCGAGGCAGTAATATTTTTTCCTTGTCTGGATTCTTTGAGAAGGGAAGTGGTGGAAGGGGCGGGGTGTGGTGGCGGAGGAGGGGGGGTGTTAAGATATGTGGGAGAGAGAGAGAGAGAGAGACAGAGAGAGGAGGGGGGGGGTATTACGGTGGGAGAGGAGATGGGAGAGAGTGAGAGAGGTCATCGTAGTGGCTCTCACAAGAGATGTTTAGAAACACATTAGTCGATCTGAAAGAACTTTTTCATATATATATATATATATATATATATATATATATATATATATATATATATATATATATATATATATATATATATATATATATCATGAAATGTTCTCTCTTCTGTTCCGTAATAATATGACTTAGTTAAGTTTATTTCCTTTAGGTGGACAAGCTCTGACAACATATTATATTGACATGTAACAGCAATATTAAGCCTATAACAGGTTATATTCTTTGAGTATACCTTATTGAGAGATTATTTTCCTCATTTAATATACTCTTTTTAGATATAAGATATTCTTAAAGGTAAGAGAATATGGACTAGCCATGGCGGTCTAACCATTAAGGGAGGATAGGGCGGTTAGCAGGAGCCTCAACCATTGGCTGACAGATCCCCCTGGTGGTGTCAGGACCGTCAACCATTGGCTGACAGGTCCCCCTGATGGTGTCAGGAGCCTCAACCATTGGTTGACAGGTCCCCCTGGTGGTGTCAGGAGCCTCAACCACTGGCTGACAGGTCCCCCTGGTGGTGTCTGGAGCCTTAACCATAGGCCGATAGGTCCCCCCTGATGGTGTCAGGAGCCTCAACCATTGGTTGACAGGTCCCCCTGGTGGTGTCAGGACCTCAACCATTGGTTGACAGGTCCCCCTGGTGGTGTCAGGACCTCAACCATTGGTTGACAGGTCCCCCTGGTGGTGTCAGGAGCCTCAACCATTGGTTGACAGGTCCCCTTGGTGGTGTCAGGACCTCAACCATTGGCTGACAGGTCCCCCTGGTGGTGTCAGGACCTCAACCATTGGCTGACAGGTCCCCCTGGTGGTGTCAGGAGCATCAACCATTGGTTGACAGGTCCCCCTGGTGGTGTCAGGACCATCAATCATTGGCTGACAGTCTCTGAAAAACAATATAATGTGAATGGATGAAACAGCCCAAATTGATGCCAAATGGGGCATTAATATATTTTTGGCGTCTTCCCCGTTCCGATTGCGATAGTTTCCAGTTTGATTACGATAGTTCCAGATTACGATAGTTCCAGATTACGATAGTTTCCTGTCAGTTGATTAAATTTCTTGGTCTGATGTATGAGCATTGTGGGAACACGATCATTACCATAGTCTTTAATTGGATTGCGATAATCCGGACTTATTGCGATAATCCGGACTTATTGCGATAATCCGGACTTATTGCGATAATCCGGACTTATTGCGATAATCCGCAGGCATGTTGCGAGAATTAGCAGTCAGACTTCCACATAGATATGAGGCATGCAACATGACCCTGGCAGGTATACATAAATTACGGTGAGGTATACATAAATTACGGTGAGGTATACATAAACTACGATGAGATATACATAAATTAGAAGGTGAGGTATACATGAATAACATGATGAGGTACAGCTCGAACTAATCAAGAGCCACATGGTAAGGTATACTCAGGTTTACAGGGTGATGTAAACTGTGACTTTAAGGAAAAGCTGCAGGATTAGGCAAATAAATTACTGGGGGAAGATAAGCTATCATAAGGTTAGAACATGAACTTTGTTAGAGCATAATCTCTCTCTAATTAGAGGATGTTTTCCATAGTTAGAGCATATTTTCCCTAGTCAGGGCATTTTCTCCCTAGTCAGAACATGTTTTCCCCTAGTCAGGGCATTTTCTCCTTAGTCAGAACATGTTTTCCCCTAGTCTGGGCATTTTCTCCCTAGTCAGAACATGTTTTTCCCTAGTCTGGACATTTTCTCCCTAGTTAGAACATGTTTTTCCCTAGTCTGGGCATTTTCTCCCTAGTTAGAACATATTTCCCTAATCTGGGCATTTTCTCCCTAGTCAGAACATGTTTTTCCTTAGTCTGGACATTTTCTCCCTAGTTAGAGTATAAACTCCTTTCTAACAAAACTTCCTCGTTAAAGCATCAACTACCTTGACTGTCAACTCTTATTAAAAGTCAAACTAAAGTAAAAAATGTTTACAACCCCCCCCCCCCCCCCGAAAAAAAAACTAGTAATTTAAATTGAGAATAATCTGACTGTTTAGGGAAAACACGGACAACCAAATTACCTAAAGAGAGTTAAATTAAGATGTAATCACGTCACTGAATGCTGTAATTACCGGGGGGGAGGAGGGGAGGGGGTACCTCCCTAACTACCAGCCCCCTTCCCACCCCCACCCCTTCCCCCCCACCCCTTCCCACCCCTTCCCCTGCCCCCCCCCCCCAACCCCAAGGGAGGGGGAAAAAATGCAACTGTTTTTGGAGCCTTGGTTATATATCAATTAAAATGCATTGTCGAACGCATTGCCATGGTGATTGCAGTAGACGAGGGGGGAGGGGGGGGGGGGATGAATATGGTATTAACGGTAATGATGGCTGTGATTGGGTAATTTGTGCGGGGATATCCGGCTCTAATGTCCGGCCTTTTTACCCCCTCTGGCGGGCTGGCTGGGTGATTAGCGGATGGAAGAGTGGGGGGGAGGGGGGTGGGGGTGTGAGTGTGGTTATGGTGGGATGGGAGGGAGGGAGGGGGTTTTATGGGATGGGGGGGATGTGTGTGTGTGGCCCTGGAAGAGGGGGTGGGGGGCGTGTGACAATTGGGAAAGGGGGGCGCTTCTGGCCCTAACCCCCCCCCTCTCTCTTCCCCCCTCCCCCCTCTCTCTTTCCCCCCTTTAACTACTTTCCCTTTCTGGCTTGCTTCATACCCCTCCTCCGACGAAGGGGGAATATGCCCAAACGCGTCCCCCCCTCTTTATAATAATTCATGAACTAATTACTCGAATGTATAAATGAGCTAAATAAGCGGTTCCGTTTCCCTTGGGCTGGACGGTAGAGAGAGAGACGGTCTCGCGTCATGCAAGTCGGCGTTCAATTCCCGACTGTCCAAGTGGCTGGGCACCATGCCCTCCCCCCCCCCCCCGTCCCATCCCAAATCCTGACCCCCTTCTCAGTGCGATATAGTCCTAATGGCCTAATGGCGCTTTCTCCTGATAGTCCCCTTCCCTAAGGGAAACTATCCGTGAATGAAGCTGTATAACAGGTTCTCAAATTATTCACATCCATGTACATGAGGACTGGAGATGACTTTGACAACACTCTTCGCTCTGAAGGGCCGTTCTGGGTACACTATATATACACCATTTTCACTATACACCACTAATGGAAATATACCATACACACTATATACTCCACCCATGACGGATTAACTCCATCATGGGACGTTAATGGGAGAAGAGAGAGAGAGAGAGAGAGAGAGAGAGAGAGAGAGAGAGAGAGAGAGAGAAGAGAGAGATACAAGATTTATCTCTTATTTCAGCTTGAGAAATAAGACGCCTCCCTCCCCCCCTTAGAGACTAGTGCCAGCACACACACCAATACTATACAGGTAGAGAGAGAGAGAGAGAGAGAGAGAGAGAGAGAGAGAGAGAGAGAGAGAGAGAGAGAGAGAGAGTAGAGAGAGATACAAGATTTATCTCTTATTTCAGCTTGAGAAATAAGACGCCTCCCTCCCCCCCTTAGAGACTAGTGCCAGCACACACACCAATACTATACAGGTAGAGAGAGAGAGAGAGAGAGGCTACACAGTCAGGTGACTCCCTACAGTAATGGACACCATAAAGGGGAGAAGCGGAGATTGTCTTATGGTAAACTCAGCCAATTGGCTTCGTCTTATGCAAATGAGGTGAAGTCGTTGTCGGAGGCAATTAAGATCATGATTAATCGTGAGTGTTGCGTGTTGAATGATAGGTGAGGGGGGGGAAGGGGAAGAGGGAGGAGAGAGAGAGAGAGAGAGAGAGAGAGAGAGAGAGAGAGAGAGAGAGAGAGAGAGAGAGAGAGAGAGAGAGAGAGAGAGAGAGAGAGAGAGAGAGAGAGGGCACCACCACCGCCAGCTTACACAAGGTGGTGACCTGATAGCCCAATGAGAATATTTCAGAGAATCAACGATGGTTAAATGACCGAAACTCTTCGTTAGTGGGGACTTGGTCTCAAAAGTTGGGTTCTTCTGAGCTTGTCGTAACGAGGCTATTATAGCTCCTGGGCTCCTCGCCTCTATTGCTCACATTAATCGCTTCCCCCTGCGCTGTGTAGCACTATCTACCCTCAAATTAAACATTTTCTCATTCTTTCACATAAGGGTTCCTGGGTTCGATTCCTACTGTTACCTAGCAGTAAATAGGTACCTGAGAGTTAGTCAGCTGTCACGGGCTACTTCCTGGTGTGTGTGTGTGTGTGCGGTGTGGAAAAAAAGTTAGTAACAGTTGATTGACAGTTGAGAGGCGGGCCGAAAGAGCAGAGCTCAACCCCCGCAAGCACAACTAGGTGAATACAACTAGGTGAATACACTCACACAAAAACACACACACACACACACACACACACACACACAAAAGCTACCCTATAGGCTCAAGAATCTGTAAACCACTACACACAGAGATCACAACAACGTGATGCGTCAAATGAACAAATCCACAAGGGCCGTGACGAGGATTCGAACTCGGAGAGGCTGCAAGATCCATGAAGTTCAGCAGAACTTCGGGTTCAACTCTTTGTTTCTTGAAAAAAAAATTAAACAAAAAAAAAGAATAATACAATTTTTCCAATGACAACTAGGCCATTTCCTGGGAATGGCTGAGTGGGGGGATGGGGTGGATGAGGTAGGGGAGAAGAGGTAGGGGAGGAGGCTACGTTGGGGGGCAGGAAGTAGTGGGAAGAGGAGAGGGGGAAATGTCAGAGGTATAGAAAATTGCAGTTGGTGAGAATTAAAGAGAGGAACCAATGGTGAATGAGACGGTTGACCCATTGCTCCCTCTCCCCCCTCACACAATGGAGCTCATTTAATCAAACCACGTACCTGCCCCCCCCCCCATTCCCCTTCCCTTGTCACCCCCTGAAAGCTGGGGTTAATTGGATTACCCCTCACATAAAACTTCGGTTCATCAGCTCCCGCTCATTTGAAAGCCTTCAGTTAATCGTTCTCCCTCAAGCACCCTTCAGACATCCGAGGTCCTGTTCAGTAGATGAGTACTGATGGAGGCTATGTTGCTACGTGTCCATCAGTATGTTGCTACGTGTCCATCAGTATGTTGCTACGTGTCCATCAGTATGTTGCTACGTGTCCATCAGTATGTTGCTACGTGTCCATCAGTATGTTGCTACGTGTCCATCAGTATGTTGCTACGTGTCCATCAGTATGTTGCTATGTATGTGTCCATCAGTATGTTGCTATGTATGTGTCCATCAGTATGTTGTTATGTATGTGCTCTGAGACTAATAGAGGCCTACTAACTATGTGTCCAGACCTAACAGTTTACAGGACTGAGGGTTTCATCTCTTGGGTCCTCTAATCATCTAATCTAATCATCTAATCTAATCTAATCTAATGCTTCATTAATCTAAGATCATCTAATGCTACGCAACTAATTTGTTGTGTCTGTACCAAATTAGTCTTGCTTGCTTTCACTAAAGAAGTGCCTCCTCACAGCCCTGTTGAACATCCCAGTGTGTCGCATCCCTGCTTGTCCCCTCATTAAAACAACTCCTCTACCTGATCATTTCATCTAGATCAATTTGTATCGATTTACCTGTGTATCTTACATGTCTAGACCATGTCCCCATCTTCATTTTTTTCTGTCAGTGTCTTTAAGTGTAGCTCCTTCAGTCTATTTTTGTAGCAACAATCCCCTCTCAGTTTTTGGAGAAATTGTCAAGCAACTCTGTCAATTATCATTCATCTTTTATAGTTTCTTCTGGGACCCATAGGTGGTCCCTACACTCTTATGCTGTCGTTTCTAGCACAGACAGACAGATAGACAGACAGACAGACAGACAGACAGAGTGAGTGTGTGGGTGGGGGGAAGGAGGAGAGAGGGGGGGCAGGGGGGAGTGGGTAGGAAAGAAAAACATATTTCAGTACCGAGTTAGACACGAGGATGATAAATCACTTCAGAGAACCTAATGGGCACGAAGCTTGGAATTTCCGTTTGCGCCTGACCCCAGAGGAAGGGACGCCTGACCCCACAGGAAGGGGCGTCTGACCCCAGAGGAATAGACGTCTGACCCCACAGGAAGGGACGCCTGACCCCACAGGAAGGGACGTCTGACCCCAGAGGAAGGGACGTCTGACCCCACAGGAAGGGACGCCTGACCCCACAGGAAGGAACGCCTGACCCCACAGGAAGGAACGCTTGACCCCAGAGGAAGGGACGCCTGACCCCAGAGGAAGGGACGTCTGACCCCACAAGAAGGGACGCCTGACCCCAGAGGAAGGGACGCCTGACCCCAGAGGAAGGGACG